TACCCTGACAGACCAGCAGGTGGTGCAGCTCCACCCTGCAGCACCGTCTTCAGCCGGTCACACTGGTGAGTCCTCACTGAGGAACAAGACTTTAATTCCAGACATTAGTTGGGTCTTAGAGCTGCTCTTGTAGACTGAGTGATTCAGTTGTATGGGGGTTTTTTCTAGAAATTATCACTACTGAAATGATTAGTTGGTCAACAGAAAATTAATCACCTCATCATTTTTCAAGTAAAAATGCCAAATATTCACAGTTTCTAAAATGTGAGTGGACATTTTTGTGCTTTGGACTGTGATGGGCATGTTTTACTATACTATTCCCCTGTTTTTTCTTTAAACATTTTCATCCACAAATCTGGAAAAAATAATCAGTGATTATAGATAAAACTAATGGTGATCACTTTATTCCTAATTTTATATTCTAAATAATTTTATTTAGAAAATTCTGAAATAGAAAAAAATGCTCATTTTAGTTTCTTGTGGTTGACACCACTGACTTTGGTACAGCAGGTCGGGGTTCGAGTCCATGTCAGGGTGCAGTCCATATCCAGTGTGGGCCCTTAGGCAAGGCCCTTAATGCATAGTGAGGTACTTCACAAATAAATGCTACGGCAAAGGGGAGCCAGGGCAGGGGGGAGATATGATCCTCCCTACGATTAAAGATGAAAACATTTTCTGACAGTCTATTCTAGGGTCATGACTAAGATAAATGGTCTTATACTTGTATAGTGCTTTTTACAGCACACTCAAAGCGCTTTTACACTACTCTGCCATTCACCCATTCGCACTCCCAAACACTCACACACTAGTGACATCACTAGGAACAACTGGGGACTGGGGGTTCAGTGTCTTGCTCAAGGACACTTCGACATGTTGACTGGACAAGCCGGGAATCGAACAGCTAATCCTCCAGTTAGGAAACGACCCGCTCTACCTCCTGAACCACAGCCGCAACCACAGGAGAAGTTCTAGCTTGTCTCAAAGTAGTCTGTGCTGCTTTTGGATGTTGTAATGAAAGAAATTGCAAAAGCACGCAACAGGAACATTAACCTTTTGCTCCTCATGTATTTGAAACAATAAGAACTCTATCACTTTATTGTTTCAAATACATCAAGATTTTTGTAGTTAGAAATGCTGTTGTATATGAAACATTTCGCAGCAAAAAGAAATGTTATGTTAAGCTCTGTAAAGAAAATGATATATTTGCTTGCTGTCAGTGTCTTTGTGTAACAATTTGTTTACAGATTTTATTCACTCGTCATCACACGTTGTCAAATGTAGTTTATATCTAAGGAATCAGAACCAAGTGATGTATCCGTCCCGTTATTTTTAGTCAACATAGGATAGTACTGAATGTTAGGAGCAGTTTACTTTTCCTGACAAACACTCAACAAATACTATTTAAAAGTTGTTTATTCTGCAAGTCGCCTTACAACAAACTGCATCAATCACATCCACTGCTGTCTGCATTCTCATGGTCGATTTTGCATTTATTATTTTTCCTGCTCTACCACAGGTTGATTCTCCAACTAATGATGAACACAGCACAAGACTGAACTGCAGAAAAATTGACAGTAATTTAGAAGGTGTGGAAATGTTAAGTGACTTTAAGCTTCTGTCTTCCTGCTCGAAACCTTCTGAAAGATGGGATCAGATGCTCACCGTTGGTGATCAAGGCTTTGCTGAAGCTTCAACACTGTATTAAAAAAATGGTTCATTACTCGAAGCTTCAATGGCACTAGTGCAATGAAATGCAATCGAGACGTGACATTTATTAGTTCATGGATTGTTTGGCCATGCACATTCCTGTTCCACTACACTACATGGTTGTATGGTTTCAAGCAGACACAATAAAATATAAAATACACACGAACTCATGTTGAAGACCACATTTCTTATTTGGCATGTTTGATTGTAGTAGGCTATAGCTACTGTATATGAATACCATGGTGTCAGATCTTATCTGCGGCAATATTAGGGAGGCGCCCTGCCCCCCCAACAGTACCCCTGACCCCCTTGAAAGTCAAGTTAATTTTATTTTCTATATAGCGCCAGATCACAACATGGAAAAAGGCACGATGGAGAAAGCAGTGAAAGGTGAGATGAAAGTTAGTTAGGAGGTGAAAGTTTACTCAGGTTAAGCCCACCCATGGTTTTTACTCTATGTACAATAAAACTTACACGAGTAAAAAAGCCAGTCAGAGTAATGAATCAAAACATCATGACTCCGTGGCTAAGTGAAACCAGCACGGTGGCAACAAAAAAACTTTTTTCTCTCAGCCTTCAACTGTTTCAGCAATGAATTTCAGCCATTTCAGGGCAATTCTTCAGCAATTGTTTTGATTTACTGGATCACAAACCTAACTCTTACTGTACACTATCTGTCCACAGCCAAACAGCAGAGATCCAACTGGGGACTAGCAAATGAACTTAGGAGAGCTTTTAGTAGTTAAATGAATTTTTTTTTCCTCAGAAGAATCAGAATCAGCTTTATTGGCCAGGTGTGTCAGACACTCGAGGAATTTCACTCTGGTACATCGGCTCTCAATGTGCATGTACATATCCCCATGCAAGGGGCAAGCAAACAGTAAACCAGCATAAGGCTGTGTAACAAAAAAAAATAGGCAGTATTAACAAGCAACAACCAGGGCAAACGATGCAAAATAAGCAGTATAAATAAGCAGTAAACAATGCAGACAGAGGAATGCCCATCGAGATGAGATATTAGGAATGAGGTAGAATAAAAACTGAGTACTTAAAATAGAGACGAGGGCAAGGGACAAGTAAACAATAACTAGCATAAGGTTGTGTAATATACCAAAAATAAGCTGTATTATATAAGCAGAAGGTGGTGTAGTTCAAAAACAGAGCAAAAAGAACACTGGATAGTGGACATAAAATCATTAAGTGGACACATACGTGACTTCAGTATTAAGTGCTGGGACTGGATATAAACAATTCACTATAATATTCTAAGCTGATAATGTGATTAGTTTGTTTGACATGCTAAGGGCCCCAAAAAGAACTTAATACAGCTTTATTCACATTTTATTATATACAACCTCAGTTATACAACTGTCATGCATTTAGTAAATATATTTTGTTCAGTGTTAAAGTTAATTGATCTTCTAAACTAGTTTAACAACTAGAAGATCAGTGATTAAAACTGAATGAACTCCATCCACTGATGAACACCGAAATGCAGCTCAAAGCTCTGTGGAGATTGTGTGTGAAGGCACACCGGAGCTCAGCCTGTCTGAATTAAACAAATAGCCAAATGTTCAGCAGTGGAAACCGACTTATCTAGAATTCCAAAGGACACCTTGTTAATTTTAGTTGTGGGTGGACTTCTATTAAATACAAGAAGGCATCTGTCCATGATTTTTTTAATTCTATTTTTATCTCATCTCCCAATGAACACTCCTTTGTCTGTCTGCATTGTTTACTGCCTGTTTATTTTGCATTGTTTATTGCTTGTTTATACAGTTGATTTTGTTATACTACACAGCCTTATACTGTTTACTTGCCTTTTGCTGTTGCCTTGCATCGGGATATGTACATGCACTTTGAGAGCTGCTGTACCACAGTCAAATTCCTTGTGTCCAGCACACCTAGCCAATAAAGCCGATTCTGATTTCTTATCGCACCGTTTTATCATGGGAACCTGTAAACAGCTTATTAGGGGCTCAGACAGGTGTATACACATTAGAGAAACTGGCATTCTGCAGCAGGCCTTGTTTACTGTTAAGAAACCAGCTGACTGTAAGCTGATTCAAGAGTGGGTAAACACAGTTACTGTGATACTTTGCAGTGCACAGCCTCAATATAAGCCAGAGGTAAAAGGCCAGTGACCGTTTGCTCCTTCAAACTGAAGTTTACAATAAATGTGTTGAGAACGTATCCAACCATCTGGCAGATGGAGAGGAACTGAGAAGGATAGGCAGCTTTCTTCTTAGGAGTCTTCCTTTTCTTGGTATCTGTAACACCAAAAATCAAAATGGTTAGCAAAAGATTACAAGGCAGCATAAGCAGAGGGCTGCCCACCAAGAGCTTGGTTCTGTCTGATGATTCTCCTGTTAAAGGTCAACTAGTGGTGCAACGGATCACTGTTGATCCAAGATCCAAACCGATCCTTCTCCACGGTTCGGTACGCACGTGATCTGAAGATCCGAGAAAAAAAAAAAGGTTCCATTGTATGGTGCACGTGGTTAAGCGACAGTCATGGCCACCGGTAGCAACGCAAGCGGAGGAGCGCATTTTGGCTTCCCCGTTAAATATATTGATGGGAAAAGGGTGGTGGATAAAACTATCACAGTTTGTCAACTGTGTGGCACGAGGAAACCATATGAGACTGGCAACACGTCGGGCATGGCTGCTCATTTGAAATGACATCACCCTGTTGTGACAGGAGCAAAGACGAAGGCTGTGCAACAGGCACTCATTACCGCGGCATTTA